ATGGAGAGGAGGTTTTGGGGGCCCACGGGGGTCATGGAGGGGTTTGGAGGGGATTTCTGTGCCCCACAGGAGCTGCGGAGAACAATGGAGAGGTTTTGGGGGGGCTCTCTCAGGCCCACGTGGGTCATGGAGAGATTTGGGGCGTCCCACTGAGGTCTGGGAGAGCCATGAGGGGATTTCTGTGTCCCACGGGGGCTGGGGAGAAGGATGGAGAGGCCCCTCCGGGTCATGTGGAGGCGGTTTTGGGGGCACATGGGGGGGTCCTGGAAGGGTTTGGAGGGGACCTGTGCTCCCCACGGAGGTCTGGGAGAGCCATGAGGGGATTCCTGAGCCCCACGGGTGCTCGGGAGGATGGTGAGGGGATTTCTGTGTCCCACAGGGGCTGGGGAGGAGGATGAAGAGGCCCCTCCGGGTCATGTGGAGGCAGTTTTGGGGGCCCACGGGGGTCATGGAGGGGTTTGGAGGGGATTTCTGTGCCCCACGGGGCTTGGGGAGGACGGTGAGGGGATTTCTGTGTCCCACAGGAGCTGCGGAGAAGGATGGAGAGGGAGTTTTGGGGATGTCTCTCAGGCCCACGGGGGTCACGGTGAAGTTTGGAAGGGATTTCTGTGTCCCACCGAGGTCTGGGGAAGGTGATGAGGGGATTTCTGTGTCCCACGGGGGCTGGGGAGAAGGATGGAGTGGCCCCTCCAGATCATGCAGAGGATGGGGAGGAAGTTTTGGGGCGCCCCTCAGTCTCATGGGGGCTTTGGAGAGGTTTAGAGGGGATCTGTGCATCCCACCCCTATGAGCCCCCACAGCTGGGGAATGCCTTCCCCTGGAAGAGGCTTGGGGGTCCCCGAGACAACTTTTCCATCCAGTCCTGCCTGGTCCTTGGGTTTGATTTTCAAACACTGACAGAAAAAACAGCCAGCCTGAACCTGAAACCTGATGTCCTCAGAGTGCTGCCCCTTCCAGCACAGACTGAACGCTAATTTATTTTTGCTAACAAACACTTGAAGCGTGTCAGGGTGGATAATTCCACCTTCCACGGGCCGGCTCCAGCTCTGTGTGTCACACACTCACTGCTTTGAACACAAACACGGGCACGGTGAAACCCAGGGGTGGTGCCCGGGAGGGTTTTACTGGGAGTCAGCAGCCTTGTAATGTGCTGGTGAGTCACCTTCCTCCTCCTCTGCCTCACCTGAGCACCGCCGAGCCGTCCCGTTCATCAAGGCTTAATTAGGTTCATTAAGGCTGTGTCAGACAGGGCTGTGTTTACACTGCAGAGCCCCTTGGTCAGCAGAGCTCAGGGCCGGTGCCTCGGGGCTCCCAGGCATTCCTTTGTGTCTGGGCAAAGGAAAATTGAGAGAGAGAATAAAAAAAAAAAGAGAAAACACAGCTTTGGTAGTCCTGGGGAAATTTCTGGTGTTTTCAGTTGTTTGTAGCCCTCTGTTTCCTGTTTGAAGCCTGTTTTGTTCTTGCTGCCATGGTGATGTGTAGCCATAAAGGAGTAGTTTTATTTGGAAAATAGATAATGTTGATTGACAGGTGCTTGCTAACACCATAAATGCCACTAATGAGATTTGTTTTTTGTGGTTTGGGGGTTGTCAGTCGGTGATTTCCTTCCAGCCACCCCCAGGGGTGCTGCTTTCAGCTGAGCTGCCTTTGCTGAGCACACGGGATCGATTGTGGCACGGGATGCTCCTAGAAATCACTTTGGAACAACAGTGCCCAGTGCTGGCTCGTGTTAAAGGCACAGGGGTTGTGATTCTGGGGCTGCTGCAGCTCCAGGGACTGGGCAAAGCCTTGGTGTCCTGATAAAAACCCTTCCTTGGGTGTCTTCTAAGTGCCAGAGTGCCTGACTGTCAGCCAAGTGTTTGTTTAGAGTCACAAAATCCCAGAATGGACCTTAAAACCCATCTTGTTCCACCCCCTGCCCTGCCTAGGGACAGCTCCCACTGGGACATTGTTCCAAAGACATTGCTCCAAACCTGGCCTTGATCACTTTGAGGGACAGGACAGACACAGTTTCTGCAGGATCAGGCCCTCACCACCCTCAGAGGGAAGAATTTCTTCCACATTTCCCTCTGAAGTGTCTGTAGCAGATTCCTGAATCCATCTCCTTCAGTTATCCCCTTTAGTTTTGAATTTTCTCTGGAGCAAGTCACCTTTTCCTGTTCTCTTTTATTGCTTCCAGTATACCTTTGGAGGTTGAAGTGCAAATTTGATGGCAGGGCACATTTGCATGCTCTGTTTGCTGCCTTTATTTGGAGGAAGAAACCAATCAGTTTCCAGGCAGCCTTTCCTATGGGTTCTGTGGGGTTGGAAATGCTACAACAAACAAAACCATACTGGTGTGCAGTGCTGCTCATCCTCTGTGCTGCCTCAGATGTGGTTTGAGTGTCACCAAGGGGTGTTTGAGGGCGTGTGGGTGGTGGGATTGTGGTTTGAGATGCCCTGGGCACTGTTGGGGAGCTGTTTTTGGGGAGGGAGAGGGCTCTGCCTGAGCAATGCCCTTCCTGGTGCGTGCCAGTCACGAGCCTGCGGAGGGGAGTGGAAATGCCCGAGCTCTGGGAGCCTGGGCTTGGCTCTCTGCTCTTGATTAGGGGTTCCTTGGCTTAGCAGGCATTAAGGAGCTGGAATGAAAGGTATGAGGGCGTGGGACAGTGTGTGCAGCTCTGAGGCTGCTGCTCTGCTCCACTTCAAAGCTGTGGCCCCTGCCAGTGTCAGGAGGAGAGATGAAAGGGCAGAGCAGAGTGGCTGAGCTGAAATGCAGGAATTCCATCTTGTGCCTCTGTTTTTTCTCCTTTTTTTTTAACCCTTCCTTATCTGGTTTGAAACCAAATCTTATTAATAACTTTGGTATGATAAGGAATGTTTTCTTTGGCACCTGGGGCTGTGAAGGTGACGTCACCTTAAGATTAAAGTCTTTCTTTTCCTGCACTCTGGGCTGGTTTGATTTTTCAGCCGTAAGAACCTTCTGTGTTCTCAATTACTGGTGTGTGACTGCTCACAGGGATGAGGGAAGAGACGAGGATCTGACTCCATGTTTCAGAAGGCTTGATTGATTATTTTATGATATATATTATATTAAAACTATACTAAAAGAATAGAAGAAAGGATTTCATCAGAAGGCTAGCTAAGAATAGAATAGGAAAGAATGATAACAAAGGCTTGTGGCTTGGACTCTGTCCAAGCTAGCTGGGCTGTGATTGGCCATTAATTAGAAACAACCACATGAGACCAATCCCAGATGCACCTGTTGCATTCCACAGCAGCAGATAACCAATGTTGACATTTTGTTCCTGAGGCCTCCCAGCTTGTCAGGAGGAAAAATCCTAAGGAAAGGATTTTTCATACAAGATGTCTGTGACACTGGCGGTTAAAGAAACCTCCTTGTTGCTGCAGGTGGTACAAGCTCCGCTCCAAACCTGGGAAGAAGGAAAAGGAGAGAGGGGAGATCGAGGTGGACATCCAGTTCATGAGGAGCAACATGACAGCCAGCATGTTTGATCTGTCCATGAAGGACAAGCCCCGCTCTCCCTTTGGGAAGCTCAAAGACAAACTCAAGGGCAAGAGGAGCAGTGGCCTCTCAGACACAGCGTCAGCCATCGTCCCCAGCACCTCCCACTCCCCTGCTGACAGCGAGGATGAGGCAGTGGAGAAGGAGAAGAAGAAATCCAAGTTCAAAGCGCTGTTCTCCAAGCCTGGCCTGCAGAAGACATCGCTGTCCCAGTCCATGTCGGTGCTGCCCACCCAGCAGCCCCTCACCCCGAGGGTTCGGCTGCGGCCCAGCGACTTCCAGGCGCAGTGGGATGAGGAGGAGGAGTCCCAGACCTCTCCTGCCTCAGAACGTGAGTGTTGGCACAAAACCTTCCCCCAAAGGGTTATTTACACTCTTCACAGCACTGGTTAAATTCTCCTTTCTGACCAAATCCTCCCTGCTAGCACTGAGGCTGGCAGTAGTGTCAGAGAAAAGATTATTTTTGCATCTTCAATTTCTCCCTGTTTTTCTTTTTTTTTTTCCAGGTTCCTTTGAAAGTGTGCCAGAACAGAAGCCAGCTCCTTCTCCTCTGTTCAAATCTCGTAAACCAACCTTTTTGGACAGTAGGCAGCTAACCCAGGGAACCACTAACCACACCAAAAAGGATGGGCTCTCGTTGTTCAGTGGCCTTAAATCCAAAAACGATCCCGTGTCCAAGTCCAGTCTGTGCATCAATGGCAGTCACGTTTATATGGAAGAGACCACGACAAAGGACAAGACTCCAACCTCCTCCCCCTCTCCTCACAACCTCAGGAGGAAGCAGCTCTTTGCTTCAGAGGAGAACCTGTCCTCCAGGTCCACTAAGCCACCTGAAGAGACGGGGAGAACCTCTCCTGGGCAGGCATTCTCTGGCTCCACATCCTTGGAGACTTTCAAATCCATGACTTTGCCATCGTACAAACTGCTCAGCAGTGAGGAGCACCTGGACACCAGCGTTCCACCAAGCACTGAGCCTGTCAGAGAGACCAAAAAACCAGACCACAAAAAGTCTGCCTTGCTCTCCTTGGTCACTGGGAAGAAGGAAACGGTGAAGCCCAGCGAGGCTGAGATTATTCCTGACAGGACCCTGCAGAGTGAGGAAAATACAATTCCAGAAGAGAAGAGTGAGGAGGAGGCCAAATGCCCTGAAGCCCCAGCAGATGTGGGCAGAGGGAGCCCCTCAGGAGATGCTCACCATGCAGGGGAGGCCATCACAACCAAGCAGCAGCCCAGCCCTTGTGAGGAGGAACAAAAACCTGAGAAAGCTGCACCAGCCAAGACCAAAGCTGTGAAACCCAGGTGAGCCCCAGCTGCTGGCAGGAGTGGGGTGGGCACTGCTGGTGGCAGGTGGCAGCAGGCTGTGTCTGCCACACCTGGGCTCAGGTGCTGCTCTGTGGGTGCCTGTGGGTTTTACTCTGGTGTTGGGAGCTTTGATAGCAAAGAAAAACTCCCAAGTTCTTCCTCAGTGTGAATAAAAGATGGATGTGGGGGTGCTCCTTGAAATAGTGGCTCTCTAGCTCAGGAGGCACCTGTGCAGGTGCTGAAGGGGTGAATTTTCTTGCTGGATCTCTTGCACAAACTAACTCTGTCCGAGCTGTGTGGCTGCAGCCTCCCCAGGGTGTGAAATGCCCGTTCTAACATCTCTGCTTTCCTCTTCCCTACTTGGCTGTGCTCTCCCAAAGGGTGGCCTTGGAGCCCTTCTGCTTTTGGCATTGCTCACAGCAGCACAGAGGGATTTGGTGTGGATTTGTACACGAGGCTTTTTCGGAAATTCTCCTCCTTTATCCCTCATACAAATATATAAATTGTGTATGAGGTATATAATATATATATTTGTAGGTGTGCCCTACTAATACTGTGTTTTGTGTGTATCCCTAACTCCTCATTTTCAGTGCTTCTCAAGTCCGAGTTTCTTGCCTGTGCAGTGTTTTACATACTAATAAACCTGCTTGGGGTGCAAAGAGAGGGTGCTTAAAGCAGCAAACCAAGCTCTGCAGCAGGAGAGTGTGACAGTGTTCACAGGGGTCTGAGGATGAGGGAAGAGATGAGACTCTGACTCCATGTTTCAGAAGGCTGATTTATTATTTTATGATATATGTTATATTAAAATTATACTAAAAGAATAGAAGAAAGGATTTAATCAGAAGGCTAGCTAAGAATAGAAAAAGAAAGAATGATAACAAAAGCTTGTGGCTTAGACTCTCTGTCTGAGCCAGCTGGGCTGTGATTGGCCATTCATTACAAACAACCACATGAGACCAATCCCAGATGCACCTGTTGCATTCCACAGCAGCAGATCATCAATGTTTACATTTTGTTCCTGAGGCTTCTCAGCTTCTCAGGAGGAAAAATCTTAAAGAAAAATTTTTAATGAAAAGATGTCTGTGACAGGAGAGTTCTGGCATAAGATTTTTAATGAAAAGATGTCTGTGACAGGAGAGTTCTGGCATAAGATTTTTAATGAAAAGATGTCTGTGACAGGAGAGTTCTGGCATAAGCCCAGAGCTTGGTAAAGGTGCTGTAAAGTCTCACAGACAAGGGGACACCTCTCTCTGAGGTCTCTGTAGGGTGTAGCTCATCTCCAGTGGCAGAGCTGATGGAGGCTGGTGCTAAAGCTTGTCTGTTCCTGCCTCGTGTTGCATCTGCAAGTGACATGCGAGTTTTTTGTCCCTTTTTGCAGACTGGGCCTGTCTCCAGAGGAGGAACCCAAAGCCACGCTTCCTACTCTTGCACCTGCCCCCCTCCCTGCTTTCCTGTCTGTGCACCCTATCAGCAGTGCCAATAATCCTTTTATTTCTGAAGTGGGGCAGACAGTCCAAGTGCCAGACTCTGAAAACATCACTCCTGCCTCTCTCACTTCTCCTGCTTTTGCTGCAGAGCTCTGGAATGACAAGAACCCTTTTAGTGCTGAGTGGGACAGGGCATCCAGAGCCCTGGATCCCAACAGCATCACCCATTTCCCTTCATCCCATCATCCTGCAGCCTCTGTTCCCACAGTGCCTCTTCCTGGGCAGGTCTCTGCCCGGGGCAATAATCCTTTTGCTGCTGGCTGGGGGCAGGGTCCTGAGGGCTCTGAGGCTTCCCAGGGTCTCTCTGACCCACACACACCTTCTGTCCCCTCTGTCTGTCCTTTCAATGACAACAATCCCTTCGTGTCCAGGCGTGGGGCACAGGCAGTGCCAGCTGCCCAGGCTGGTTCTTCCCCTTCCTGCCTTCCTGCTGGGGAGGATTGTTCCTCTGCAGGACCCCCTGCTCGTGGTGCTGCAGGGGGCTCTGCACATGTGGCTTTAAGCAGTGATGCCACAGCTGTGCCACACCCTCTGGGCACCTTGTCTGCCCCCCCTGGGCTGGCTCCAGAGCCACGCTGGGATTCTGCCCAGCTTCAGCCTGGGGGTTCTTTGGAAAGCAGCAAGCCAGGCCCTGGGAAATGTGTGTCCTTTGTCCTTGGGGGATGGCAGGGTGTTCCAGCAGGTGATGCAGGTGGAGAGCAGCCCCTGGATCCCAGTGGGAGGTTACAGATGAGCTCAGGAGCAGCAGGAGAGCCAGCAGGGTTTGGGGGTGACCCATCCACAGAGCTGTCTGGGGACAGCACACATCCCACCTGCAGCAGTGATGGAGCAGCTGTGGAGGCCACTGGTGTGAGCACTGCTTTTGTGTCCCTCTCCAAGGGCAGTGACAGCCTCGTGGCAGAGGCTGAGCAGGCACAACCCCCCAGGAGTGAGCTCAGGGAGGAGCAGGAGCCCTGTGGAAAGCAGTGTGCAGAACGTGTGCCCATGTCAGAGCCCCAGGCACCTCCAGCTGCTGGAAATCAGCCCCTTCCTCCAGTCCAGCCCACACCCAGAGCCTGCAGGGTGTCCCCTGGGGAAGGGGGTGCAGGGAGGGCTGACAGGGAGCTCCTTGTGCCCCCAAAGCCAGCCCCACGAGTGGCTGTGCTGCTGAGGAAACCCCCAGGGACCCCCCAGGCTGATGCTCCTGCTCCAGGGGATGCTGCAAAATCCACCCCAGGGCTCCCATTCCCTGCTCAGGGGGGCTCCTTGGGGACTGTCACCCCTGCAGTGGCACCCAGGGGTGTCAGTCCCCAAAGAGGACAGAGCAGGCCTGTAGAAAAGGAGGGTGGTGATGGTTTGTCTGTCTGTCTGACAAATGTCAGGTCTGCCCTTCCTGTTCCTGGGGACCGTGGCTCGGTGCTGCCCGTGATCCCTGAGGGAGGCTCTGATGAGGAGCTGCTGGGGGACTGCCAGGACAGCTGTGAGGCCCCTGCAGGTGACAGAGGTGTTCTGGGGAATGGAGAGCAGCCCAGAGGTGTGACAGCTTTGCATGGAGAGCGGAGAGAGCTCTCTGATAGCTCTGCTGCTGCTCCAGGAGGAGGAGGAGCAGGAGCCATTCCTGGTGCTTGTGAGCCAGGGAGCTTGGCTGTGGTGCCAGGGAGCTTGGCTGAGCTGCCAGGGACCTTGGCTGAGCTGCCAGGGAGCTTGGCTGTGCTGCCAGGCAGTTTGGCTGAGCTGCCTGCTGCACTGGGGGCTCCCAGGGTCTCTGTCCAAGGAGCTGACTTAGGTTTAGCTGTGACATCTCATTCCAAGGAGTGTGACACTCATTCTGAGAAACAACAGCTGGAAAGGAGTGCAGGTGCTGAGGAGTGTGCAGAGTGTGACTTCTCTGAGCCTTCTGCTTTCTCTTCCTCCCTGTCAAGTCCTTGCCAGCCCCACTCTTCCTCTCACTCCCTCCTCTCTGACACCCCGAGTTGTAGAGCAGAGTCTCCGAAAAAGCCAAGAGCCGAGGGCTTCGCAGATAAAGCGGGAAATTCGGGCAAGAAGAAAGGCACGGGTCTCACCCTCTGAAACGTCCCCTAACCACCCCCCATGGGGTGAAACCGTGTCTCCCCAGCACAGGTGAGACATGTTGGGGTCACAGCAGTGAGCTCTGAGCTTTGCTTTGCCCTCTG